ACAGATTTTACTATTTTCTGTATTGTAAAATTGTTTTTGAAATCATCTAACCAAACAAGTTTTTTATCTCAAAAAATATTAAAACCATTTTCTTAAAACTCTTTTCAAAAACTATTTTCAGATACTAATTTTTTAAATGCAAACCAAACATGCCCATAATTTTTTTGGATTGTTGTCCATAGATTTATCTCGCTGTATAGAGAGACAATTTTGTATAAAGTTCAATAGTAGCTCAATATGTAAAAAAAGAATACAGAAAAAACTCCCATGTTATTAATAATTTCTGAAATATTCAATGCACCGAAAATGTGCATCAAAAGTGAGGGCCAAATTGATATGAGCCGTTGGATGATGGTGTGAACCAAATTGATCTAACAACTTGCATCAAATTTGGTGCACACAGGAGTGTTCTAATAATTTTTGCATTAAATTGGTATGTTCAATTTATTTTTAAATATAAGGACAAGGATTCCAAAGAAAAAAGAAGAAGGAATAATTTTTTTTCTTTTGATCATATACACACACTTTGTGTTTGATGAAGTTTGATTATTGGGCTTACCCCAAAAAAAAAATAAAAAAAATTCATTTGCTCATAAGGTTAGACCCTGTTTGGATTTGTATAAAAAACATCTCTGACCCATTAGGTTCACTCTTGATCCTTTTTTGTTTTTTTAAATTTAGAAAGTATCCAATGTTTACTTGTTTTGTTGTGTGGAGTGTTTTACAATATACAGTGAAACATTATACCTTAGCATTCTATGTAGAGGTTAATAGTTGCCCTAATAATTATCGTTTCCATTATTAGATCTTAAAGTTGTTGATTCAAATCTTATTGTCTCTCTTCATGTAATAGTGTGAGATCATATTTAAAAGAAAAAAACTTGGCTTGTTTTTTCTTTTTTTCACAAATTACAAATTGCACATAATACTCTTTATCGAGGGGCAGTTTATTTTCATGTGCACTTTGTCTTTTTTTTTTTACAACGGGCAAGTATATTTGGGCTTATTTACGCATATTTCGACTAATATCTTATTTGATTCCGTCAAAGACAGGTCATCCATGCCAGATCTAGAATGTTCAGAAGAGAAAAATCTCTCATGACTTAGCTCCTAAAAAATTGTTAAAATTCGAACTCAAGATATCTGCGCTTATAATTCCTCCCTCATGAATTGATCCCAAATCAGAAATGGTGTTATTCTCAACCAGAGCAGGAAATACTAATCCGGATCAAAGGTAGCTTCATAACCAAACACCCCCACCAAATATTGGATCTCGAGCCAGCACATTAAATGATCTATCAGGTCCACCAAAGCGCCATGCGTCCGTAAACCTGAAACAACACATCACAAAACAACCCATAAAAACCTCTCAAAACCTTTTTTCCTGCCACTCAACAAGAACAAATGGCATTTTTTCCCCCTCAAAATATCCAAAAGTATTTATTTCAACTTATCAAGAAATAAAAGTATATGATCCAATTTTAACTACAAAGTATATGAGTCTATTTATTTTTTTCAGTAAAATTAACATTATCCAAAAATAATATATTATATTTTTCCTGGCAAACCAAGTATAAAATTTGGGATTTTCAATTAGAATGCCTGGATAAAAATATAATTTTTTGATGTTTAAAAGGGTAAAATAATAATTTTCAAATATCTGAGGGAACAAAGTGTCATTTTCCCTTTTCTCAAAGAAGAAGAAAAAACAGTTATTCAGTGCTTCACCCCCTACGTAATAGATCTACCTACGTACGACTACAATAAAAGTCGTAGTCTGAAGAAACAGAGTAGTACTTTTGCAGGAGTACAAAGGACCCACATCAATCACACTCTGATTAGACGGATGGAAGACTTTATGGCCCCACATTATGCACATAGAGATGGGCATCGAATTGAAGAAAAAGTTTACAGGAATGTTTCAGTACCTTATGAAAAATTAGGAACGTCAATTTTCAATATGGTACATTAATACGATATGGATTACACATAAAATTAATGAATCACACATGAAATTAAAGGAGTCAAATAAGTTAAAATGAGTCAACTTATTTAAACACGAAAAAAATTATGTCAAATTCATATCAAAATTAGGTTAATTTGATTTTGACTTGATTAATCAGTATACTTTAAGCTTGTTGATAAAATTCGAATACGAATCCGATATAACTTATTGTAGACCTGTTTGACCTTTTTATGACAATATAATTTGTCTATATATATATGACTGATGTGATTTTAATTTTTTTATGATAATTGACAGTATAATTTTTAATATTATTATGACAATATTTTAGTATAATTATTCTTTTAATTTTTGGATTGAAACTTGAATACATTTTAGTTAATTTCATTAATGACATGTGACGTGTTATTTGTAATTTTTTTTTTTGAAATTATGAATGAATGATTGAATTTTGTATTTAATGATAATGAACAAGTGTGAAAACAGATTATATATGTTAAATATGTCTGTGTTATGTATTTAATAGGCCATGTTATATGTGTGAACTTAAAAACGACTTGTTTATTGAATGTGTCAAATTGGTTGAGTTCGAATTATCCGTTTAATGGTCAGGTCAGGTTAATATTTACACACGATTATTAAATAGATAAGTTTCGAGTTTTGAGATTTTTGACACAAACTAAAAAATCAACCTGAAATGAAATGACATAATTCATCACCTTTGACACCCTTTATCAAAAATTATAATTTTTTATAAAAACTTATATATTTAAAGTAATAAATTACAATTGTTCAATAGAAGATTATAATTGATTATAGATAGTATAATCGATTATGAATTTCTCTTGACCAATTATAATTTCTCTAATAAATTATAACTTGATTTTTTAAAATTATAATTTTAATAACATTCAGTATTAATCGTAACCTTTCATAATCAATTATATCATTCACAAATTATAAGTTACATTATAAAAAAGTTATAATTTTCAGTATAATGACACGGTACCATTGCCATTCCCCTAAAATTGAATAATTGAAAGTTGGAGTTATAGAGTTCATATTAAGATTCAATGATCGATCATTTTTAAGAGAAATAAAATGCGCGATTAAATACCTCATTATTCTATTAATAAAAATCTATCAAAGTGATATCTAAATGCTATCTTTCTTCCCACCTTTTTCTTTCGCAACGAAAAAAAAATAATGATAATCATGTGATAAATCCAATTCAATGGTGGGTCTCTCTGTCTTTCTCTCCTGTTGATAGTTTTTTAGTTGATGAGACTAGACCATCACTTGAATTCGTGTCAAAGTGTCAACGCCATTAGATTTTTTCCAAATTTAAAGTGGTTAGCGTGTCTCTGTCATTCATACCCTCCCCGACACACATTTCTCTCCTTCTGAAACACACACTAACGACACTGTTACTATAATTAAACCTTTAAAACCGTAAATTTAAATTTTACAATAGCAAAAATAATTTTAAATTATTTAATAAAAATGTGATACCTATAAATTTTTTATTTTTTAATTAAAAATATTAATTATGTAAATTAAAATCAACGTCCTTGAATTAATTTGGGTACCATAAATGGGCAATACAATACTCTTCTCCCTTGTCAAAACTCTGCCTCACCGGAGTGGAGGATAGTATGGGATTAATTTCAAGTGTACTTCAAGGTGAAAAGAATCAATCGTAAATTTAGATATTTTAAATTTAAATTTTAATAATTTTTTAGAGTCATACCATGGATGACCTGATCGGATTGAAAAGAAAACTAAATGTATGTAAGTTAATTCGAATACCCTTGACTATTAAAAAAAAAAAAAAGAGTAGAGTATTCACCAAAAAATTTGATTCCACTTTAAAACATTTTCTTGTAATCAATTAAATAATAACCCATCATCTATACACCATTTAACGATTTATTATTTTAAAAAAAAAAAATTAATAGGGGAGATTTAAGTTCAATTTAGCATAGCACCAAAACCAATTATTTTCCCTCCCTTATCTATGCATACTACACAAAAATGGTGGGTCATATGTCAACAGTGGTGGGTCCAACTTTCCCATTCAATGAATGGTGTTTGAACCTCACTGCATTAGGCTCCATGATTTCAATCACATGTTAGTTGGATAAGGTATAGTTTTTTTGTTTTTGGCGGGATAAGGTACATAATAATAATGCAAAAACAATACATAAGGGGAATGGTCGAAAATTGGAAGCTAGTAGCTCCCTGATTTAACAACTCCTTATAATTTGTCGGTAGTATAAGTATATCCCCAGTAACTCAGCCCTCAAATTAACAAGCCCTTACAAATTTATACATAATTACAAGCATTTAAAATTTACTCGAAAAAGTTACTCCAAACCCTCGCATTTTAGCTAGGATTGTTAGTTAAACGAGTTCAAGCTTGAAAACTTTGTTTTTTAATCGAATCTAAAAAATTATTCTAGTTTATCTTGTTTCTTAAACTAGCCAAAACCTGAACGAGTCAAAAATAAGTCGAACCCACACCGGACCTGAATATTTACATATACATAAGTCTGTCAAACTTATAAGATTTGTTTTTTAAACAAACCTAAAAAATTGTTCAAATTCGAACCCGTTTAAAAAACGAACCAAACCCTAATCGAACTCAAATCAAACTCAACTTGATTATGAGCCCTAACATCCGCAGCTATCATCTTTTTTTTTTTTTTTTTGGTTCAATAGTCAAAAATATTCAAATCAATTTCACACACCTTAATTAACCCAATTCAATCAAAAACAAACAATCCACGCCTAAACTAGAATGATATAAAATCTTTTGTAATCTAACCCCAAGTAATTACTAACCCTTAAATTCAAAACATCTAAATTTACATTGTATATTATTATCGGAGTTAACAAGTATTATCTTTCTCCATCAGGTAAAAGCTAAACACAGCTTTATATCAAATGTGTGCGGAGAAATGTGAAGGACTAAAATGAGAGAGAGAGAGAGAGAGAGAGAGAGAGAGAGAGAGAGATGAGCCTTGGTGCTAAGCCCCTTCTTCTCCTCCTTGATACATATTATTGTTGTAAAAAACATATAAACACATATGAACATCTCATTAAAAAGATCACCATCATTCCCCACTTACATCTCATCCTTCCCCTACATCCTTAATATATTATCTATAATTACTACCTATGAAGATTAAAGAACTTCGTTTAAACTTCAACTTAGGTTCAGAAAAAAGAAAATTTAAGGAAAAAAGGAGAGGAGAAAACTAAAGACTAAAGTGAAAAACACATTTCCATGTATGACAAAGCACCAAGAGACTAGTGAGTCATTGAGCTATAACCGAAACACCAAGCAGCATCGCCACTGCTATGACCACCCCGCTGCCACTACCATCACCACCACCATCATCAGAAATTCAGTACATTTTAGCTATAATGGGTGGAACACTGGTGGCACATTTTCACATTACACTACAGCTTGAGGTGTTTTCATCACTGAAGATGGAGCTGTAATGGTCTTGTGGTGGAGGGTATGGATAGGGGTTTGGGGGGGGCATGTAATTGACGGCCGGTGGTGGCCGAGCGTACATCATTGGTTGAAACCTTTCGTTCCCATTTGCTCGTTGCTGGTTCATCATCATCGCCGCCAATTGTTGCTGGTAGTAGGGGTTACCAGGCATCATCTCTGGCCCAGCCCCTTGGTAATAACCACCAGCACCACCATTCATTGCCGCCGCGGGAAGGCCCTGGACGGCTGGAATGTTACCCATCTGGCCCATAGGTACATTACCCATCTGACCCATTTGGCCCATGGGCATGTTTCCCATCTGACCCACCTTAGCACCACCATTCACAGCCATCATGTTAGGCATCATGCCATGAAAACCATCATTCATCCCACCCCCCTTGCCTCCATTACCAGCACCAGCACCAGCACCACCGCCATTGTTACCATTCTTGTTCTGACCACCTCCACCCCCACCATTTTTACCATCTGATGGTTGCCCACCACCATTCTTGCCACCACTTTTGGCAGCACCACCACCTTGATTTTGATTACCCCCATTGTTATTTCCATTCCCACCACCTTTCTTTGCATTATTGCCACCACCATCACCCATGTTCACTTGAACAGGTATATTTCCTCCTCCCCCACCCTTTTTACCATTTCCACCCTGCATAAGCTGAGGATGCTGTCCATTCATCATCATACCATTCAACATCATATTAGGCATCTGAGCACCCCCATGACCATTATTCATGACGGGTTTCATCTTGTTCAGAGGTGTGTCATCTATTTCATCATCAAACTCATCATAATCAAACTCGTCGTCATCATCAAACTCGTCGTCATCGACATAAAACTCGTCATCGTCATCATCAGGCAAGTTGAACTTCACAGCCTTCTGGTTCTGAGCTTTGTTGTTGTTGTTGAAGGGCATTTTCAGGTCTTTAAATTGGGGAAGTTTCAGATCTGCAAATCCCTTCGATTTTTGGAGCTGTTGCTGTTGCTGTTGCTGTTGCTGGTTGTTTTGACCTTGTTGCCCTCCTTTGGGCTGATTATTTACACCCTTTTGGCCTTGACCCTTGTTCCCACCTTTGCCATGGTCAATTTGCATGTTCTTCAACTGGTTATTGAGCTGGTTTTGGTTGTTGGGATTGTTGGCTGCCTTGGGTGCACCCCAGAGTTCTGCATGTTTCCCATTCTTAGCCAGCTTCTTGATCAGTGTGGCTGGTTCTACAATTCCTGAAACTGTGACCTTGCCCTGTTCTGAATCTATTTTGGTGGTATAGACACCTAGAAAAACCCAAAAAAAATTACATAGAAAATCAACCAAACAGTTCAGAAACAATGCAAATTTGACCCAAAAATATATATAAAAAAAGAATGAATAGGCCCACATACAAAAACTATTTTGGGTATGTCTAACTACACAGAATAAATCTGAGGAAAATAAAGATTGAATCTTGAAATGGAACTATACCTTCGATTTTCTGCAGGATTTTCTTCACTTTGTGCTTACACCCATCACAATGTATGTTCACTTTCAGAACACAAGTCTGCATGCACAAGTAAAGACAGAGAACACAACCAGAGAAAGAGAAAAGCACATTATTCACCATTTAAGAGATTCATTAACAAACAAAAAATAAGAAACAGTGAAAAAAGAGAACCAAGTTTGCCATAAGAAAAATCCATCAAGAACCTATAATTGTAAGTTTATAGGAAATAAATAAAAGAAAAAAATGAAGGAGAAACAAGAATGGAACTCAAAAGATCTTGAGTTCAACACATGCAAAAACCAGTAAAGCTAAATAACCAAGACAATAACAAGATTTTAACACATATAGCATGTATGAGCAAGAGAATGAGTACCTTGATCTTCAAAAACTCTTCTTTACTCATTTTTTTAACACTCAAACAGAACAACCCAGAAGACTACAATAAAGGAGTGAGAGAGAATGAGTTGGATGGCTGATAGATATGAGAGAAACAGCAGCAGTTAAAAAAGCATTACACTGAGAAGATGAAGATGTTTCTTCTCTGTTCTTTCATTTTGGGACCTTTTTCAAACAAACACCAGACAGTAAAATGAGAGAAAAAACAGATGTTTCTGGAGTCACACACTCCGAGCAAAAGAAAACTTAAGACACAACAATGTTTAGTCTCTCAGAAGTAAAAGCAAAAGCAAAAGAAAGAGTGAGATGGGGAAAAATAGAGAAGTCCAGAGCCGTGGTTGGACATTAAAACTCCTCTGGTGTCTCTGCTTCCATCTATTTCAGAGTTAAAGAGAGAGAGAGAGTAAACAAAAGTGCAGACTGGCACAAAGAGAGAGGAAGGGGGGGTTTCTAAGTCCTCACTTCTCTTTGTTTTGGCCTTTATTTATTGATTTTTTTCTCACCGTCATTAAAGGGTTTGTCTCATAAATTACTGTATGACTAATAGTAATGATATAATTTGAGGACATAATGAGTTATGATCAATGAAGGGATATTAAAGTATATTTAATGATGAGTTTTATTATAATATTAAATAAATTTAATCATATCATTAATGATAATTTATTATATCTTTAAATTATATTTATAAATTATGTCTCAATAACATTGCTCTTAAATATATAACCCACTTGAATCTTTGGCTTGGCTTAAAGGGTTGTTTGGCTTGGCTTTAACTGTAAGGTTTGTAATGACTTTCTCTCTCAACTGCTCCATGTGAATGGCCATCAGAATAAAAATCACATACCCAGTGTTTGAATATGTGAATATTTATTACCAGCAGATGTGAACGAACTCTTGTCAGATTTTTCTCTCCAAAATTGGTTGGTACAATAAATTCACTCATTTATTGTATATCCATGGGTGGCATGTAAATTATTAAATTGTACACTGTCTTGGACAGATTACTGTAATTGGTTTTTTTCAATATTACCAAAATACCCTCATTCCCAAAACCTCGGCAAAAAAATTCAACTCCGGGGGTTAAGTGATCAACCCGAATTTAATCGAACTTATAAAACACTTAACTCAAGTTCAATTTGTATTCCAATAAACCCTTAAACCCGAATACAGTCTATACCTTAGTTTTTGGATTCGAATTATACAATTCTTTAAAACTTTGAAACCAATTCAAGTTGAATCTAAAACAAATTCTTGGGTAACGCAACATGCACTAGGGTTAAGCTTGAATTAAAGTTTTCTAATTCTGGTTAGGTTCCAAAGACTCTAATCTATAAGTAAATATTCAAGTTTATATTGAATTTTTATTTATTTAATTTTTTTTTTGCTATGCCCTAACTTGAATAACAAAAATCTCCAAACATTTTGGATGAAGTTTAGATTGAATTGCCTAACTCATACTCCTATCCTTATCCATGAGCCTTACCTGGGATTACATAGATTAGCATATGGCTCTGACAGGAAACTTCTATTGTATTTGGAGACTCCATAAATGAATGTGTATAACTCATTATTAGGTTAGGCTACGAGAGGTTTATTGTCATGAATATTTTAATTTTGGTGTCTTTGACCATATCTGAGAGAAAATTAATTGAAGTGTGCATTAGTAAGTCCAGACACTCATGACTGTTAAACCAAAAAAAAAAAAGCCTTAATTTGTTATTGGGCAAAAATGGAATTTTTTTGACACTATTTAATATGTTCGAAAATAATCCTTTTGAATTTATCACCTTCCAAAAAAACTTAACAATAATACAAGTTTTCAAAGGTTAGTGATGTTCACATTCCACCTTTGTAACCTTGCACTTTATTTTTTAGTTGATGATAAATTGATTTCCTTGTTCAAACATAACTTTTCTCAATATTCTAAAAATGAGGACAATAAAATTGAAGATTGAATTATTATTCGATTGACAAATGTGTCAATTGGACAAATACGACATTTGGACCTTCTCGCGCGAAATTTTTAAATAACAAGAAGTCAAGTTTAGATTGAGCATGTTCGAACATACAAAAACTAAGTCAATTTGTATCGATCAAAGCTTGTCATTATTTGACTCTCTATCGAACGAACGAAATAAAGGGTAACATTTTAACCTGAATAACCTAAGACGTTTGTTGTATGAGAATCAATTTCTAAGATGAGCAATATTTTGCTGACCAAATTATTTATTAAATTGTATATCCCAAACCAATATAGGTGGTAGGATTAGTGGGGTCCACTAACTCCACCAAATATTCAATACATGAGATTTTAACACATCACTTAAAATACAAGATTTCGTAAACAAATGTAGACAGTAAAGTTTTATCCTTCTAAAATATCGTCTAACTCTGATTTTTTTACGTAAAAATCATATAAACCATTCAATAAAAATATCTAATACTTAGCTTTTCTATCTAATCATATCTAGTGAATTGGTTTACTAAATTAGTTCTCAAACAAAATAAAGGAAAAAAAATTGTATTGCATGTCCTTAACTAAATGTACACCTTAGAGCATCTCCAACAATGTTATCTAAAATAGTTACTTAAAATATATTTAAATATTGTATTATCTATTTTAGCTAATCATTTTTTCAAATTCACTCCAACAATGCTATTTATTTTAGTTAACCACTTCAACTAACTTTATCTAAATTTCAATAATAAAATTCAAAAAATAGTAATTTAACTATACATTATACAAATTTAATCAATTATAGGCTACAAGAGAGAACTCACCTCCCAAAAATTACTACTCCCAAATCAAATTCTCTCAAATTAAATCACAAAATTCAAAACAAAATCATCTCAAAACTTTCGAGTTTGATCGAAAACTTCTGAAGGCTTCGCGTTTGATCAAACTACATGTCATCGTCTCTCCAACGATCGCCTCATCCAAACACTAGACCAACAATTTCTGAAGTAACTAGGGAGAAATGGCTAGGTAGATGTAGTTAGTGAAAATAGGATTATGAAAAATAGATAGAAAAATAGCTAATCTGCTGGAACCACATTTTAAGAAGAAACTATCTAGAATAGCTAAAAAGAGGGTTTTAATTAACCTTTTAAAGTTGCTCCATGGCTTGCTACCTCTTGGAAGTTAGGAATATGTTGTTGACATAATAGTGGACTCAGTCCTTGTTCATGGGTAAGCTCATTGATTCCTTCTTCCTTATGCCTCCCTAGCTAGTTTTTTTTTTTCCAAAACTAAAAATGGGTCAAATGTATTTTAGACTTATGGTTGTAACGTGAAACTCGAATGTATGCCACTATTCACAAATCATGTATTTCACTTAACCAAGATTTTACTGTTCAACAGGACTAGAACTTAAAACTTAGATTACATAGAGCGAGAACAAGAGCACAAAAATGGCATGATTCAAAAAAACTTAAGGGCGGGAACACCTTGAGAACATTGTATTACATATGTAAAGACACACATTCACTTATAAAAGTTAATAAAAAAAATTAAATTTAATGCACAACTATGTGACAAACTATTATTATTTCAATACATGTTAATTATAAAGGTTCTAAATTGATAATTATATTTTGTAAATATCATTCTAGTTTTCTATGTATCTTTCGACATTAGTTGGTACTTATAAATAAAATTTTGAGTAATAATGAGTAAGTATATTAACAAATAAGAATGCAAATTAGTCAAATTCTCGAACTAAAAAATTGATTATAAAATAAGAGCGCGAATTTACAGAAAATTCACTCCCAAAGCATAAATTTATGCTCGAAGGGTTGGCCTCGATTGTTTATACGAATTACGTGACTAACCTTAAAACATCTAGGCCCCTTTTCAATGACAATAATCCTAATCAAGAATGTGTATCTCATTTCTAGTAAAATGATACACGAGTTTCAAATATTGTGGTAATATTTTATTTAGTATTTGGTATCATCAATAATCTAGTATAAAAATGGATATCTATTTCATTAATATTTTAAGTAATGAACTTCATTTTAGGAAAGATCGTGATTTTAGCAAGATTTCTTTGTTTTAGCAACAAATTAAAGATTGAGAAGGACTTTGAATTTGAAATTTTTTTTTAGAAAAATAAGTAGAGAATGAGATTTCAATCATTGATAATGGGTTTAAGATTCTCAATATTAGTGAGAATTTGATTCTAACAGTAATCTTATTTCCGATATAATTACCGATTAATTAACTATCCAAACATAATAATTATGAGATTACCATTTCCAAATAAAATTATCGCGATCTAGATGAAACCCTAATGTGTTACATCTTTGCTCTTATTCTACTAGCTGGCCAACATGTGCTGATTCTTACTGGTTTACTTACACAAGGCACTGAATTATAAGGTAGTTTTAAGCAATAAATGTGCCTATAACCCTATCAATCTTTACTTTAGGACAAAGCAAAGAATGGTAAATAGGATTGTCAACTTTTGGCTATTAGTTTGGTTGAATTTACAAGACTCGTAAAGCAAGTTTATTCGATTGATTTCATGTGCAAATAGAGGTAAGCCATGTAATTACTTGATTTTGCAGCTAACATAATTGATCGAAATTAAATTCATGACAAATAATTATCGAAAGAACTAAGAAAAAAATAGTACGGGATGTATCACACTCCGAGCAAATTTAATTTTTTGTCCTTCTCCAAAATGGGTATAGACTGGTATAGGCTTGCGGAAAGTAAGTAGTCATAAGTCACATTATGAAACTATTGCTTGTCTCTTTGCGTTTAATTCATGATAAGTGATCTAAGACTTATGTAACCAAAGAAACCTAATATTAGAGGGGATCTCGATCCGAGCAAACGTTGTTTCTTTTCCCTTTTCCAGGGGGAGTTTTAGACCAGCATGGGCATTCGAAAAGCAAAGCAAGTAGCCATAAGTCATATTATGCAACTATTTCTGTCCTGTTTTGTGTTAATTTTTTTTTTTTTTACAGGATGTTCAGATTTATATTGACTATTCTCTCAAGTTCTGAACTGACCACTATAACTTGAATCTGTTAGGAGGAATAAAAAGTATTGAGTCCGTGACATCTTACTTACAAAAAAAGAGTATACTTGACCATTGGACCACCTAAAAAATCTTTTTTTTTTTTTTTTTGTGTTTGATCATGTGCTTCTTTAGCAGCAATTGGGTGAGAGAAAGTGACCCTTAAACCAGCAAACCAGCACACAAAAGATGCTGATGATTTCAAAATTGTAAGAGTTTTACATTTTCTTCTATAAGTTTGTAGTTTGTACCCTTCTTTTGTAAGCAACTAAGTGTTGTCTTTCTTAAAAGTCTAACTCATGATGAAACCCTTGTGGCTTTGTCCTTTTTCCCTTTGAATTTTAGTTTTTGAAAACACTTTGAGAAGGGGTCACTTTACCTGTTAAAGGGAATGTCCAGGTGAGAAAGAAGTCTAGGAGATCAAGGAAATGGCCCTAATAAATACTGCATGAGGTATTTCAATGGGTGATCATTGAATTGAGTGAGTTTTTAATTGGAGTTTTTGCTTAATTTTGGGTTCTATGTTCACTCAAGAGAGACAAAAAAGGGAAAATATCAATTGGTTAGGTTAGCTTTGTCTTAAAAAAACAAAAACGAATACATCATTTCAAAACTCATACATTTTTGCCCTTGTTGACATAAAAAAAGCAATGTTGTTGAAACTTAATTTATTGATCTAATTTACTAACATAATTCATTATAACTATTGGATTGATTGTAGACCCCATTAGACATTGAAACTTGAATTCAATAGTTACAATGAAACTACATCATTAGTTCAGCAAATTAAGTTAGATTTTTAAATCCCAATAGCATTACCCATGTAAAAATCGTCAATGACTTACAGGATAGAAAATAGGTCAGAGGTCGTCACTGATGAAATGTTGAAGAGACCCTCTGATACTTAAATTAGTATGACAATGAAATATGATAATTGAATCTTGCATGCAAATTAATAATTTGTTTGACATTTGTTGTTTAGTATGTTTTCTCCTTTATACTGGTCTCTTTCGAGTGGGTGAAAAAGTAATGGAAGGGTTTTAAAAAGTCAACCATAGATTCTTCAGAATCTCCGATTTGATGAGCCATGCTAGTTGTATTTAATTTAAGAATCAAACTCATTGTATTATTTGGCGTTCAATCCAATAATTACAATAAATTAAATCCTAAAATTCGCTTCTAATGGCATTTTCCCTTCTTGGCTAGTGCCATTTTGGCATTTTTCCTACTTCTAATCTATCAGATGTGATCAAACTACCGGATTCAGATTTACTTACCATTAATGAGTGCTACTTATGTTAAAGGTTTCTACTTGAATTCATGTTGAGTGATGTACTGTAGATGATATCAACATTTTTTTCCTCGAAATAGAGGGAAAAAAAATTCTTCTAAAGATGAATATCAAAAACTTCAAAATGGAAAAAAAAAAAAAAAAAAAGGGCAGATGAAAAATCATGAGCCTCTTCCATCAACAATGACATTGGAGTTTACCTTCGCGTGCTTAGCTAACTCATGAGCTATACACCCTTTGCTACCCCATGCCTATCTACTCTATTTTTCAACTTTACAATGCTAAAACCACTCCAACCACTCAATTACCTCTCCCAAGATGAAAATGACAAATCAACTTAATTCTGTGGGTAGGAAAGGAACAAGAATGAAATCTATGCTTGATTTACTTGTATTAAAAAATTAGAGAGGTAAGTGTTGGAATTGGTTAGAAATATCATCCTAAGAGTTTAACTTTTCGGAACTGTTCATGTGAAAAATTTTCAAATAATTTTTTTTTTTGGTGGAACGGTTCGGAGTGTTTAGGGCAGTTTACACGCACATTGACTAATTATCTCTCTGGTCCAGTCAAAGGTAGATTATCTACGCTGGGACTAGGATATTCATGTTGCTCCAAAGAATTGTCAAGATTCAAACTCAGGACGTCTGCATTTACAGCTCGTTCATGTTACTACTTAAACTACCCATTGAGGTTCTCAAATAATTAAGACAAGGGCTCTAGCTGCCTGCCTAGTTCTTTCCTTTGAAATTAGAACATGAATATATGTGGTTTTGATTACAATTATCAAACGGGTTGGGCTTTGGCCCATCAACCCACCCGTCACTGCTGCTGAGCTGTTAATTGGTGAAGAGTAATACTATTCACACCTAAAAATTTGACATAATTTATTAACTTAATAATGTGATTTCATTGGAACTATTAACAACACCTAATTCCAATGTTTTATGGGACATACCGTCAATTCAAAGATTATAATGAATTAAATTAACAAATTAGGTTCTAGTAACATTGCTCATTGGTTAATGGCTCAGGTCGACACCAAGCTTGGCAACCCGACTTTCTACGGAGGTCGGGCTATCTAAACGGGCCACGGGTAGAGTCCACATCCATCAGAGGAGGAGTCGGGCTGAGATGCATTAGGAGGGCCTTAGGAGTGGTTTTACATACTTTTTGTCTCTATGACTCTTAAAAGTAACCAAGCAGTGCCATTGCCATTGATACTTACATGTGCACTACATGGCCTTAAGATAGTAATTGATAATGGAAAGTAGATAGATTATAAAGGTCATTTCTAATGATCCAAACCCATATTGCATGCATTATATGCTCTGCACCTAATACTCACATGGCCCTTGCAGTCCTTATTTCTAACTCTAGAAAACTTACTGTTTACAGGAATTCTTATCACAAAGGAAAAAGGATTAGTAGGAGTTATGACTGTCCAATCGGGTCATCCGAAAAAATTGGAAAGAAACAGAGAAGATTAATATCAACCGACACATAGATGACATGANATAAAGGAAAAAGGATTAGTAGGAGTTATGACTGTCCAATCGGGTCATCCAAAAAAATTGGAAAGAAACAGAGAAGATTAATATCAACCGACACATAGATGACATGAACAAATTGAGAAATAGAAAAAACTATGACCTATGGCAGCAGAGGGAATCCAATGAAACTTAAGATTTTCGTCTCTTTTCCTCTTTATTCTGTCTTTGCCCCAACACTCACATAACTATCGACATAGCCCGAATGAGAAGATCTTAGTGGTTTTATCTTTAGCNCAGAGGGAATCCAATGGAACTTAAGATTTTCGTCTCTTTTCCTCTTTATTCTGTCTTTGCCCTAACACTCACATAACTATCGACATAGCCCGAATGAGAAGATCTTAGTGGTTTTATCTTTAGCTCCCAAGTTCGAGTCCCACCCGTTGTTACCTGATGGATGTAATTTAGCGGGTGATTGCATGTATGGGCAGAAGGGCTGCCCAAAATTTATTATGAACTTAAGATGTCCTCAGTGCACCATGCATTTTTAGAAGAAACCAACCACCACCTTGGGTAACTTTTTTCTGCAAGTGAATGCTCTAAATTTGTTGATGTAATTTCTCAACCACTCCATCAAAGTTTTGTCATTGTAAATGTACCTATGCACAGAGAATGCATACAAAGGAATCTGTAAGGAACAATATTATTGCCAATTGCAACAGAAGAGGCTGGTCCAAGTGAGAGTGACATCCCTTCATCACCCATCCTCTCTTATCTGTCAAATTTTCAATTGGCAAGTTGGCACAAGTACTTTTAGATGCAACTTCACAACTCATAATGTACTATGAATGAAGGATGCTGTTTTTTTTCCTGTTTTTGAGTAGCTAAACCCATTTTAATCACATGTTTTTTTGACTCGCAATTATTACTTGAACTTAGGATAACCCAAAATTATTCAAAAACCACGTACATAAGCCACACACATCAACTCAACTACGACATGTTTTTGCAAGATTCGAATATGAGAACCACATGCATAAGCCCCACACGCATCAACTCAACAAGGACATCTTTTGCAAGATTCAAATGTAAAAACTGTGAAGTATTAACCACTGAAACCCTATCATCCAAACTATCCTGATGGGCTGTGAAAAACACAGTTTTTTTCTTTGACTGTTATTAAGAACCTCGACATAAGGAGGGAGGGGACTGAAGGTCGAACCCAAACCCAAATCTCTTTGTTTTTACAGGTTGAAACATGAGGAGCTCCTCACTGAATATGTTCACTATCTGACACAAGCAAAGCTCGAACCATCTCTCTTTCTCTCTCTCTCTGCATGTATGTGTGGGGTGGTGGTGAGGAGGGGGGGGGGTATAGAGAGATATTGACATAGTTGGACAAACATAATTAAGTAAAGCCATGGCCCCCCAGAGAAGCCCATACACAGACACAAGTTCAGAAAGATACAAATACTTATTAATATTACTGCAGAACTTTGCATCTACTTCTCAGAGCTAGGGAACCTCCTTTCAAGGCCCACAAAAACTTTGCAGATGCTCAGTTTGTCTCTCTTATTGCTAACTTCTATGGCAAATATTCTCCCACTAGCCTCCCTTTTTGGCTGTTAGTTTATACAATATGATATCATCTACACCCCACCCAAAATGTTCATCCAGGGATTTATGTAGCCCTAAATCTTCTCTCTTTCTTTCTTTTGGATACTCTATCATCTTACCCAACTTTAAAAGAGTACACAAACTGAAACTGCAAGCAAGAGTGGGCAAAACTCAGAAGTAAAATAAAGAGAAAAGCAGAGTATTAACACTTTATTCAGACATCAAATATTTCCAGAGAACATCAAATATGATAGATAGTCAATGAAAGGAGGGAAAGGAAAAGGCTACATTTCCNAGAATAAAGAGAAAAGCAGAGTATTAACACTTTATTCAGACATCAAATATGATAGATAGTCAATGAAAGGAGGGAAAGGAAAAGGCTACATTTCCAGATCAGCAAAATGTATGATCAAACAAAAAGACGGTTTTTAGAACTGAAAACAAGATTTATTCAAATAGAAAATTAGAATTCCACTCCTTTCAATGCAGAACAGAGCAGTCAAAAACCTTGAACGTAGAATGGAATGTAATACATAATAAATTATGAACAAAGGAACAAAGAAACTGTTAATCCTTTTAACACAACTAAAAGTACATATATATATAACAGCATTAGACACAAGCAAAAGAAAAGAATGAAAAACTGTGTTCTACCATTGTATTTAGGATGAAGAGAAAAATCTCTCACTGATCAACATTAACCTTAATCTCTATGAGCTCCTCAATAGNAAAAAGAAACTGTTAATCCTTTTAACACTACTAAAAGTACATATATATATAACAGCATTAGACACAAGCAAAAGAAAAGAATGAAAAAACTGTGTTCTACCATTGTATTTAGGATGAAGAGAAAAATCTCTCACTGATCAACATTAACCTTAATCTCTATGAGCTCCTCAATAGGTTGACGGCATATAGGACACTTATTTGATTGAAGCCTCAATGCTTTTGCACAATCACTGCACATACACTGAAAAAATGGAACATGTTTCAATTAGAAGAAACCAATTCAGGCCACAGCAAAAGAATAATCAAGTAAACTCGATGATTTTCCAAAATCTTTAAGCATATGGAAGACACTTGATCAAAATTTTCCAAACTTTGTGGGAGAACATATAATTACCAAGACTAGACATGTTAAAGTTATACTCAAAATATAATAATAAAACCAAAAGATACATAAAAGATTTAGAAAAGAGCAATGCAAAAATGAGAGCAATTATTTAAAATATATATGTTTAGTACACGTCTAAGGAAAAATTTACGTTTATTCACTATTATTATGTTAGTTTAAAAATTTTACACTAGATGACTAAACANGTAATTATTTAAATTATATATGTTTAGTACACGTCTACGGAAAAATTTACGTTTATTCACTATTATTATGTTAGTTTAAAAATTTTACACTAGATGACTAAACATAAAATTTGCTTATCATAAAGTAATAAATTTTTTATGAATACTATTTCATTATTACTATAGTTGCAATATATTATATAAGTGTATATATAAAACACAATTAGCTATAGTGTATTCCTAACGTGTCTGTATTCTATTTTTTTGAAAAATGTCATGTTTATGTGTCCGTGTCCGTCCTTTTTAGACCATCTGAATAGCCCCAGCACAGAAATACATCATCTCACATTTGCAAATCAAGCATTAAGTGGTTACCACCTTGTAAAGCAATGCCATCTTAGATGATTAGAGAAAGTCCNATAGTGAGGGAATGTAACAGTGAACAGAGAAGCAAGTGGAGAGCAATGTTAAGACCCGTAGATTAAAAGTCAATAATAGATCCGAATCTCATTCTCTAGGAATACAAGAATATGTACATTATTTCAATTTAATGAACGAGATTTCACCAACAATGACCTCCTTGACAAATGGTCAATAAGGCAAGGTGAAAAAGGTGATCAAGAATAAGGATTGAACCCAGGAGGAGAAGAGGAAAATGATCAAATGGCATCAATTTGAATCTGAATAGTTTTCTATATAAGCCCAAAGCCCAGATGCTATTGCAACCCCTCCGTTTTCTGGCATACCAGAAGTACCAAGACCACATTCACGCTGATAAACAATTGAAAGGAAAAAAAACACTTGCAATAGATACAGTATAATCTAGCATCGAAAAATGAAGTGTACAAGAAAAAAATACATTCAATTCACTGAGAAATATTGCAAAATCCAGATCTTCAAACTGTCCCCCAAGCTCCAAAAAAGGCAGCATATCCGAGTCAATTTGAAAAATGATCAAATAGCAAAAACAACAGCATTTTTCAAGGGCAAATGTTTGACCATCCTACCTCATAAGACTGGCAATTTTCCAGTCTTAAAATGTATGCCAAGCAAAAGGTGATACATATAATTGACTGGTCCCCTCAATCCCAGAAACAATAACAAAAAAGGATAGCTATACCAAACGGCATTATTGCATAGCAGCCATCAAAATTCAACTTGTTACATGTAGTCTGGCGCCACAAAGAGAAGTAAGAATTCTAGGCTGTTGATAATAACCAACTATACAAGGTGCATCGCAGATTAGAGGTAAGGACAATGAGCACCTTCACCAAAGCTTGTAAAGCTTCAAATTTACTTGAGGATTCCATCCTTCATCGAGGAGTTGCGGGAAGACTAGTTGGAAGGAAAGCAAAGCCACTCAAAGCGTGCAACCGAGGGGAAGCAGTAATATCGCATAGATACTAATCCACCCAGATGAAGATGTAAGACGTAATATCGCATAGATACTGATCCTCCTAGATAAAGATGCAAGATGTCAATGGGTGAAGTTTATAAACAACCATGATCACACTAAATAACACGAAATTCTTGTTATCTCGTTAGAATGGTCCAATCACCTTGTTTTTGTTCATCCCACAAGGAACAACATGCAATAGCACCAATGAGCCTTACTCCAGTAAACTAACCAGAACTCTTGACCTACTCTTAAACAATTAGTATCCATCCCATGGTTCAATGTATCGGCTAAGACCGATACGACTCGAGCCGAGTCGTACCCACCTCGACCACTACCAATAAGATACCTATCCTCATTACGGAAANCAATTAGTATCCATCCCATGGTTCAATGTATCGTCTAAGACCTATATGCCTCGAGCCGAGTCGTATCTGCCTCAACCGAGTCGTACCCACCTCGACCACTACCAATAAGATACCTATCCTCATTACGGAAAATTCCTGATTTGAGTTTAAATCGGATATATCTTGGTCAAAATCAATACAAATCGGGCGATTTACCGATTCGCTTCCAATTCAAACCACAGAACCCACAATCGTCCCAAGAAAAAAAATACCAAAAAAAGGCAAGGAGATGCGATAAATAAGAAATAAAGATGATCAAAAATTCAAAATTCAGATATAATGGAAAAGGAGAACAATTTGTAAACTGCAAACAAACACCTTTTGCATGGAAAATCCAAAACATAATAAATCGATAAGAAATAAAGACGGTCAGTAGAATTTCACATGCAATTTGTATCACCATGAACCCTAAATCAGACCCCTTTNTATGTAAACTACAAACAAACACCTTTTGCATGGAAAATCCAAAACATAATAAATCGATAAGAAATAAAGACGATCAGTAGAATTTCACATGCAATTTGTATCACCATGAACCCTAAATCAGACCCCTTTCCCTCTTTTTCCCATTATTTAAATAGATGAAGTAGTAATAAATATCACATACTTCTTCTACATCGCAGAAGCTCGTCGTCATGGCAGATTAGTAATAGCAGTCTTCCAATCTTCCAGATCCAGAGTAAAGCCTCAAGCCCCAGCATCGTTGAAACCTCAATAGTCACCCAACGAACCAGATGTCCAGATCCAACCCACTCAATGCACCGTCTCTCTCTCTCTCTCTCTCTCTCTCTCTCTCTCTCTCTGTGACTTAGCCTTTCTTCAGGAGTACTAACACATGTCTCTCTCTCTCTTTGAGACTTGGCCTTTCTTCAGGAGTGCTAACACACACCTTTACTAACCTTTCTTTCCCANTCTCTCTCTTCGTGACTTAGCCTTTCTTCAGGAGTACTAACACATGTCTCTCTCTCTCTTTGTGACTTGGCCTTTCTTCAGGAGTGCTAACACACACCTTTACTAACCTTTCTTTCCCATTGCTAGGGGTGTTCAAATTTTTGATTGACCATAATTTCCTACCCCACTCGATCTTACCCTACCCTATTGACCGGCTAGCCACAAAAATCGAATAGGAATACGGAAGATTTTTTGGTTTTCCGATTAAATCGGGTAAGAATGCGGAATATCCATCAATTTCCGCATTCCAACCCTACCCCACCCGCAAAAAATATATTTAACTTTTTTATATTTTTTTTAGTAATTATAAGAGTATNACAAAATCGAATAGGAATACGGAAGATTTTTTGGTTTTCTGATTAAATCGGGTAAGAATGCGGAATATCCATCAATTTCCGCAATCCAACCCTACCCCACCCGCAAAAAACATATTTAACTTTTTTATATTTTTTTTAGTAATTATAAGAGTATTTGTGTGGTATAATTTATATTATAACATTATTATTGTTGTGGATGTTTGAGTTGCTAAAACATGGACTTGTTTTTTGTATAGGTTACATGATTTGTAGTGAACTAGTGATCTATTGGAGTAGTTATTATTTTAATGTGTTTCATATGGTTTAAATTTAAAATAATTGTTATTGTATNGGACTTGTTTTTTGTATAGGTTACATGATTTGTGGTGAACTAGTGATCTATTGGAGCAGTTATTATTTTAATGTGTTTCATATGGTTTAAATTTAAAATAATTGTTATTGTATTTGTATAACAATTATGATGTATTGATGTTCATGTTTTCTTGTGTTTTATTGTAATTGTTGTAGTTTTAAGTTTTAGTGTTATTGATTTATTGTGTTGTTAAATTGGTGCATGTTATTTCAATGAATTGTTAAAATAATCCAAAAATTAATAACTACAAAAGTGTTTATCCGACTTCCTACCCGATTAATTGGGTAGAAAGTTGAATAGAAACCACACCTGATCAGTTAGGGTAGATTAAGAAAAAATTCTTTCATAAAATATCGGACAGGAAGGCGAAAAACTATATTTCCTACCCGTAGGGTAGGATGAACACCCCTACCCNGCTATTTCAATGAATTGTTAAAATAATCCAAAAATTAATAACTACAAAAGTGTTTATCCGACTTCCTACCCGATTAATTGGATAGGAAGTTGAATAGAAACCACACCTGATCAGTTAGGGTAGATTAAGAAAAAATTCTTTCATAAAATATCGGGCAGGAAGGCGAAAAACTATATTTCCTACCCGTAGGGTAGGATGAACACCCCTACCCATCGTCTGATCTAACAACTCCTTTTTCTTACCTTTGCTTTACCTCCTTTATTGAATTTGGGTCTAGCCAACAACTATCTAACCCTTCCCTCTGATCCATTGCCTCGGGTGGATTGAGCAACTGATTGGTCGAGCTTCCCGCCCGTCCGCGCCTGCATAACTAAGTCTCAGATGAGACTTCGAGTTTTTACTTAGTCGACGTAACTAGACCCACACAGCCACACTTTCTCTCCCTCTTTCAAACAGTTAAAATCGAGACTGTCAATTTTAACTTTTTTTTGTTGTTTTTTTTCCCAATGGTCTCAAATGCTTGTCCAAATTAAGACCACTTTTTCCATTTTAGTCCAATTTTTTAAAATATATAATTTATATTATTCACCACATAATCTAATTAAAACAAATTTGTATCTATATCCTTATAGTGGGAATTACTTACCAAACTTGTATAATTATCAAGGAGAGAATAATAATAATTTCGAGCCTCATTGCTATTCAACATGACAATGATTTTGGTTTAGTATGGTTATAAATACTTCCACTAATCACAGATGAGGACAAATATTTTTCGGTAAAGCTCTTATTATTCTTTTTTGTAATGATTAATGTGTTAAATAATGCAATTCAGGGATATGATGCATAGATGATGATGTTTACATTTATTATAATTTTTCTTGATTTTTTCAAAAACAATTGAGTCATCTATATAACGTTTTAAGCATATCGGCCGATACCAAAAGCTTGAACCATGATCCCTCCTGGTTAGACATGCATCACAAGGAACCTAGCTGATCATGCCTTAATGCCACACCTTTAGTCTCATGTCCATTCAAGAGCATTTAGTAGCCCCAATGTGAGACTCGGCCCTATGCTAAAATCATTGAGCCATTCTTAAAAACTTGCATCCTTCATTGTGGGACACCTATCTCACAAGTGACATAACAGCACAGTTGTATGAAATAAGCAAGGTCAAAGCTAGAAAGCTCTATTTGGGTAAACTCTTGTACCATTACATTATCAGGTTGCTTTGCATGCAGCGTATGATACGTACGACCATGTACCAACCATTCAACGCAAAAAAAGTTTCTATTACCTGATGTGGTGATANATAAAGCTCTATTTGGGTAAATTCTTGTACCATTACATTATCAGGTTGCTTTGCATGCAGCGTATGATAGGTATGACCATGTACCAACCATTCAACGCAAAAAAAGTTTCTATTACCTGATGTGGTGATATGCCACCTTGGCTGCCCCTCAAATTTAAAGACTGGCCAGGGTGATACCTAGGATGTTTCATAGAAAGGTGATCATATAAGACGTTGTCTTGTATCGCTTATGATTCTGGAGAGATATCTTGTCAGATTCCCTTGCAAGAATAGAGGGTTTGACAGTTTGTAACTCTTCTATCCTTAAAACAAACCTGTCTCCCCATATCAATACCGGGGCAGTCTCAATATCAACTAAGGAAAGAGACACAACCACCGAAGTGGAAGCTAGGGCTACAACTTTAGCAACAAGGTTATAGGCTTACTAACAAAGCAAGTATTGAAAGACGTGTACCTCGAGGAGTTTGCCGCATAGGCTGATTCTTGCGCCTTTTATGCCTGGAGACCGAGACAAAATTACATTATGCCCAGCTTGTCTTACCTTTGCTATTTGCCCCAAACGTAGGAAGGCAGTCAAGACACTTCAGGAAGAAGAGTTTTCAGCACTCCCTTGTATATTCTTTTCTTAGTAAAGATCAGAATCTTCTATCCAGATACATAGAAATGTCTTATTACCATCCTAAGATTAAAGGTTAAACAACTGATGAGGTGAGCTACTAACCACAACTTCTGCTATAGCCATCCTCAAACAGAAAGACATATTAGGTTGGAACTGTTGGTATAGAGTGCCAACGAAGCAACAAAAATGACACCATGGCTTTAGTTGGAGAGAAAGTGGGAATGTGACATAGTGCTCCAATAACATCCAATCCGCGATTACATAAATACCTTGAAAGTAAGAACTAATACTGCTGAACAGTCAATGCATCGAGTCCTGACCCAACAAAGATCATTTATTTTTAGGCAAATAACTGTATCTAATTGGAACTTTTTAGATGCAAAATCAATAAGTTATCCAAAATATCCTCTTTTTTGTATGTAAGTGGTTACATGATCCAAACTCCCACAACACAATCAATTTCTCAAACATAGGCTTGTAACTGAAAAAACATTTACCAAACGTTATTCCACACAGAAATGATAACCCACCTCCCAAAGTATGAAAAGTTGGAATAGGTTGCAGGGTTGTATCTCCAACTTTTGAGTAAACTTATAGCAAATAATTTACTAAAATTCTTTTCTTTATCAGCCATCTTCCTAATTCTAAAACCATCATATTCCACCAAACAGTTAAACCCAACTCATAAAATTATTGAAAACAACCAATCAGTCAGTCTATACCTCTGATCTATGCCATAAATAACATAGATTCAGAACTAGAAAAACAAGCACATAACCAGTGCAGCCGTATATCCTTACCTCCCATCGAATAATGCATCGAAAACAAAGGAAATCAAGTGGTTATCAGGGTTCTGCTCATCGACTTCAAGCCTTAACGTATCTTTATGCACATTCACATCATTCCTGACCTTCTTGGCATTCTGGTGCTCAACATACGGTGGCGGCGTTAGTGGCGGGGGCGCCACCAGAGGCGGCCGAACGCCGATCCACCCATTTTGCTGATGAGCATAAAAAGGACCATAATTTGATCGACCCATTGGAAGGTTTGTGTAGTTGCTCGTACCGTACCCATTAGGATAGTGGTAGGAGTTGTATATTGGAGGTGGTGGTGGAGGTGGTGGTGGGGGGTGAGTAGCATAAGGGTTTGGAGGTGGTGGGGGGTGCGTAGGATAGGACGGGCCAGGGGCATAAGGGTATGAAGAAGAAGAAGATGACGAAAGAAGTTGAGAAGGTGGGTAGTGTGGATTTTGGTAGTAGTTGTTGTTTCTTCTTCTGTTGGTACCAAATGATATACCCATTTAGAGAGAGAAACTGGAGAGGAAGATGGAATTGTTGTTTCTGCAACTTTGTAGAGGGAGAACGTACGAGAGAGGGATCGAAGAAGGAAGGAAGAATTGGTCTAGTTTGTATTCCAGATGTGAATTGGAGGAATGGTAAAGTTCATTGTAGCAGTTTGACAACTCTCCAACCAATGGGTCTCCATCTTGACTTGACATCCTGTTTTCTTTATTTAATTAATTAACTTAATTTATTATAATTTTTTTAATTGACGGTTGATTTTATCGAATATCCAAATTTATAATTAATTCAATAATTTTAATAAAATAATATCATTAAGTCAACAAATTAAATAATTTTTTCTCTAATCGAATTAAAGGCAAGTCAACCATCTTGAAATTAGAATATGCATAAAGAATTTATCCCTTATAACTCAGTTAATAAAATTATTAATATTCAAATTCAAGAGTATAAAGTCTACAACTCATCTATATTATACTTGAACTATTCTTTGAAGTTATAATTAAGGATTTTTGAATTAATTTATACACGCATTGATTAATTTTTTTTTTGATTCGATCAAAAAATAAGTTATAACTGTCGACACTAAAATAATTTTTAGTTTTGGACATGTAAGTTTACGACTTTGCCCATAAAATAATGGCAAGATCACAATTTATTGAAGGGTCGATATGTGCTGATTTGTCCATAATCTGTCATTAAGAAGTTTGATGTATCGGTTTTTTAAAAACANTACCAAATGATATACCCATTTAGAGAGAGAAACTGGAGAGGAAGATGGAATTGTTGTTTCTGCAACTTTGTAGAGGGAGAAAGTACGAGAGAGGGATCGAAGAAGGAAGGAAGAATTGGTCTAGTGTGTATTCCAGATGTGAATTGGAGGAATGGTAAAGTTCATTGTAGCAGTTTGACAACTCTCCAACCAATGGTCTCCATCTTGACTTGACATCCTGTTTTCTTTATTTAATTAATTAACTTAATTTATTATAATTTTTTTAATTGACGGTTGATTTTATCGAATATCCAAATTTATAATTAATTCAATAATTTTAATAAAATAATATCATTAAGTCAACAAATTAAATAATTTTTTCTCTAATCGAATTAAAGGCAAGTCAACCATCTTGAAATTAGAATATGCATAAAGAATTTATCCCTTATAACTCAGTTAATAAAATTATTAATATTCAAATTCAAGAGTATAAAGTCTACAACTCATCTATATTATACTTGAACTATTCTTTGAAGTTATAATTAAGGATTTTTGAATTAATTTATACACGCATTGATTAATTTTTTTTTTGATTCGATCAAAAAATAAGTTATAACTGTCGACACTAAAATAATTTTTAGTTTTGGACATGTAAGTTTACGACTTTGCCCATAAAATAATGGCAAGATCACAATTTATTGAAGGGTCGATATGTGCTGATTTGTCCATAATCTGTCATTAAGAAGTTTGATGTATCGGTTTTTTAAAAACAAATTGTCAAAACTGAAATTTGACATGAAAAATAAAATAAGGGGAATACATTGCAGCATAAAGTCAATATTTTTGAAAAATCATCGAGTTGATCGCATGAAGAAAAAAATCAAACAATAATTATCATAATTTTTCACAAATTTTTAATAAATAATTAGTATACTTGTCAATAATCGAATTTGAATCACAACATGCCAATCGATCCTTTGTCTAGATTCTAGGCTTAATTAATATGAGTCACTCACTCTAACAATAATTTTTTTTTAAAATAAGCAGCTTAATGCACAATATTTATGTTACTGCAATATCTGGAGAGAGTCGGATGTACTTGAACCCTGGACACCCTACAATAGGGGCAACATTCTCGATTAGTATAACAAATTTCAAATGTTATAGGGTTTCGATTAGTATAACAAATTTCAAATGTTATAGGGTTTCAATTATATTTTTGAAACATGAGNTTGAAATTTGTAATTAATTCAATAATTTTAATAAAATAATATCATTAGGTCAACAAATTAAATAATTTTTTCTCTAATCGAATTAAAGGCAAGTCAACCATCTTGAAATTAGAATATGCATGAAGAATTTATCCCTTATAACTCAGTTAATAAAATTATTAATATTCAAATTCAAGACGTATAAAGTCTACAACTCATCTATATTATACTTGAACTATTCTTTGAAATTATAATTAAGGATTTTTGAATTAATTTATACACGCATTGATTAATTTTTTTTTTGATTCGATCAAAAAATAAGTTATAACTGTCGACACTAAAATAATTTTTAGTTTTGGACATGTAAGTTTACGACTTTGCCCATAAAATAATGGCAAGATCACAATTTATTGAAGGGTCGATATGTGCTGATTTGTCCATAATCTGTCATTAAGAAGTTTGATGTATCGGTTTTTTAAAAACAAATTGTCAAAACTGAAATTTGACATGAAAAATAAAATAAGGGGAATACATTGCAGCATAAAGTCAATATTTTTGAAAAATCATCGAGTTGATCGCATGAAGAAAAAAATCAAACAATAATTATCATAATTTTTCACAAATTTTTAATAAATAATTAGTATACTTGTCAATAATCGAATTTGAATCACAACATGCCAATCGATCCTTTGTCTAGATTCTAGGCTTAATTAATATGAGTCACTCACTCTAACAATAATTTTCTTTTAAAATAAGCAGCTTAATGCACAATATTTATGTTACTGCAATATCTGGAGAGAGTCGGATGTACTTGAACCCTTGACACCCTACAATAGGGGCAACATTCTCGATGCGCTATGACCTATCCTAATGGATAAGATCTTAGTATAACAAATTTCAAATGTTATAGGGTTTCAATTATATTTTTGAAACATGAGGGGATGTCTATGCAATTGCATCAAATATCAGAGGGTCCATTTGAAATTTACCATTTCTTTAGTTGTAATACTGCTATACAGAACAAGAAACAACCAAGGTCTCTCAAAGAATCCGAAGGGGTATCGGCCCCAAAGGAACAAGTCAAATCTCTTGACAATATAAATGCTCACAGGGTCGAACATTGATTGCATTCGACAGCTGGGTCTGGTGATACAATCTGACATGATTGAAACGTAATGCTTCATGGAATAATGGATGCACCCTCTTTGGACAAAAGAAATATATTGGAGAGCTTGATTAAGAAGACTAATTTTGATTAATCGGACGGTGCCCCGATGAAAGCAACCTATTCAACGATCGGACTCAATCATGCCTCGAACAAACGAAAATAAAGAACAGTCAATCCGGTTTATTCAATGAGGAATATTGAGTTAATACTCGGCGTTAAGTATTAATGAAAAATAACTATTTGATTTACGTTCTTTAAATAACTGTAAATGTACAATTAAAAAACGATTGAGTCGCTGTGAACAAGATCTAGCCCTTCTGTCATTTCCGTTTACAAACGAATCAAGGTAATTCTCGTTCTAACATATTTACGAGGCATCCAGCTTGCTTGATAATCTCGTTTAAGCACAAGTCATACATCCTTAACTATAAATACTCTTTTAGTGCAATGCCACGAATATACAATTCGGCCACACTAGAGATTTTGAGACCGTCGGAGGCACATCCTTCACCCCTCCCCCCCTCCCTCTAACTTCAATTTTGCTTGTAGAGTCACTCCATCCACTTTGGTCCATCCTTGGTGTTGTTATCTCCTAATATTGTCGGAAACTATTGGTGGTAGTCCAATTGGCTGTTCTATTTGTTGATCTACTCACACTATTAAGTAAATATCTAATGTATAATGGTAATATCATATCATTACACTCATGTAATATTACAATTTAATAAGAAAAAAATAAATAAACAAATTGAACCTCACTTCTTTATATGGTAATTATTATATTAAATGGAGGGAGAATTATTAAATTTGGTAAGATTCGTTTGTTAATTTATCATTTTCTTATTGAATGTAATGTCATATGATAGTGACGATGTGATGTTATTGTTTTGTCAATCACTTTTACAGAGAAGGAGAGCAACGATATTCAAACTTTTAACCTTAATGTCCAACAACGGTAACAATAGTCATTTGGTAAATTACTAGTCTAAACATAATGTCACCCTTAGATTGAATATTTTCTCCAAACACAAGGTGCATCACTCGTGGTTAAAACTGGAGAAGCATAAAGGAAAGCATTCTGCAAGTGGCATCCATTATCCATTGGGCATCATTTCTGAAAGAAGCTAAAACAGACCAAAAAGTAGAGACTCAAAGCTAAAGCCAAACAAATTCTTATCATGTTAATGAAAACAACCACAACCTTCTTAATTGAGTCGAATTTTACGGTCTTGAATTTGAACTTAACAAATTTATTTTTTTAAATAAGTCTAAAAAATTATTCAAATTTGATTCGTTTAAAACTTAAACCAAACCCGAGTAGCTCGACTATTTTATATATAAGTGAGCCGAGTTTTGTGAGCTGAAAATAAGCCTAAAAAATGGTTCAATTCTATTATTCAATTCGTTTAAAATAAGCCAAAAATAAGCCTATTGTTCGGTTCGTTTAAAATACAAGTCGAGCTCAAATCGAACCTAAATAACTCGTCTTGATTAACACTCCTGCATGGCATGATAGATAACCCAATCTACCTTTATTCTTTAACTTCATTTATGGCAGTTTCTAACTTATTTTTCTATATATATTTTTCTATTCAATGTAAAAGTGTATTGTAAAATAGACTTTCAATATTAGTCTATACAGACAAAATCAAATTACCATTTCTCCAACAGTTTAAGTTATTAGAAAATAGACCCACATTTTCTCCATAACTCGGAACAACTTCAGAGATGCACCAAAATATGTAAGAGAAAATGGCAGATATAACCCTCATCATCCCAAACTTGCCAACATTTTAGCATTCCAAATGCCATTTTACCAGTCACTTTCCCCAAAACACAGCAACCAAATGCATAACCTCTGTCAAAGAGGTTCACTTGGACAGCTCAAATCACAAAATTCCCGTCATTGAGGCGTTTGATCAAGATATCTTTCATACAGAGTCTTACTCCATTTATAGATATACTATTTTCGTGATTCAAAATTCTCACACAACTTTTTTCAAGAATGAACAATGTTGAACTAATCATACAAAAACTCAAATCTATCATTTCTTGGTCAAATAAGAAATTTCTCGGAGCAAAGATTCGAAAGTTGAACTATATAGCATTTTTCACAATCAATTTCTTTCATACTATTATACAACTATGTCACACAAATTCTTCAACCACTCCCAAAGGCTATAAAAAAAAAAACGAAGCGAAAAACAAAACAGAACCTATATTCAGTTGATTCAAGTATACAACTTAACAATAAGGAGAAAAAATTCAACAAAAATCTGGTCTCACTTTCTTTCGAACCGATATGCAACCTCTCTGATGGTCTCTGAAGATTCTGATCTCCGAGCAATCGCGTAAATCCTCAAGACTGATGTACTGCTGCTTCACCATCCTAGAGAAATCACACCCAGTGTCATGAATCCAAATATAAGGGTGGCAAGTCTCATCATAGTAATATAGCAAACTCCTCATCCCCCCTCCACCGCCACCAGCACCACCACCTCTACTACCAGGCATGTAAGCCTTGTAAATGTTCTTACACTTGAGTCTCTTTGATGAACCTGGCTTCAATGTGTGACCTTTCTTCAGTATTGATCCCACTCTTACCTGAAGCTCCACGGGTTTATCGCTCATGTTCCATATCCTTGTGCCAAGCCCCGACACCTGAGTATTGTCGCGACATCCATTGAAGCACTTGACAAGAGATAAAAGGCTAAACCTGGGCATTTTTCCGGTGAGGGATACAAGTTTTCTGGTCACCTTTTGATCTGAAACTCTCATTCTCTTTGTTATAAAAGAACCTTACCATAAAACTTTTGTGATAATAAGAATCATATACACCATAACTTTCGGCGTTCTTAAATTCTACACCTTACTGGTGACCATGATCATTAACATTGAGTCATTTAAAAGATTGGTCATCGATTATGTGGTACTGATCATATAGGGATACCAATATTTGGTACAAAAAGCTACACCCAAGAAGCTTCTGAGCTGAAAATGCTAAGAAAATGGTAGGGTCCTCTACCCTCCAATTTCCACAAGAGAAGGTAAGAAAGTTGAGGCAAGGCAACAAAAATTGATAAAAGTGACAGCAACTACCATTTTTTTTAGGTTTTTATTTCGTCAATGTTGTATTCAACATTGCCTATACCAAGTCAAGATAAAGGAGGAAAGTTGCGTTAAATAGTCAATTATCCAACGTAAAATTTTGTCGGATCCACTATGATGAATAGCCGACCTCAAATAATTGAGACATAAGACTTAGTTTGATTTAATTTCTAAAGAGTAAAAAGAAACCAAAAGCAACCACCATGGATTCAAAGCTTCATGATGTGGTCTCATATGATGTTGCTTCACCTTTCATCATTTGGGTTTCATGCCTTTTGATCTACTCTTCCTCTTGTGCCTCTCAAACAAACATCTTCCCTCTTCTCTGTGCAAACATACCAACAACTTTGAATATGTTCATGGTGCCTGTGACCCACCATTTGTTATTGCAGTAGGCACTATAGAATGGTTAGGACACAAAGGTTCAAATAGGTTAATGTACATGAACAGAATGAGAATCTGGGTTTTGATGGTTGGGGTCTTTAAACAATCCAAGCAGCTCGAGTTCCATTTTGGCTAATTTAGGCTCCTCTGAAAAATGAATTGAATCTAATTGGCCACATTTATCATAACCGAGTTTCAAATGAAATGTATAGCTTGGCCCATGTTACCGGGTTTAGCTCCTTTCCAATTCTCTCAAACCCCAAAATTCATGAAAGGTGTATATGTTTCACAAACAACTGAAAAAAGAACTGAAAATGGAGAAACTCCCCCAAGAAATTGATAAACTTAGCAAAATGAAGCAGGAATGAAAAAAAAAAAAAGCCAATTGATTGCTTCGACATTAAACAGACAAGCAATACTCACAACAAGGTGCTACCAAAAAAAAAAATTATTTCATTGATTTTGTTTATATTTACATCTTTCCATCCAAGAAGCATACACTAAAAATTGTCTTACCCTTGAAAACTACANACAAAAAAAAATAATTTCATTGATTTTGTTTATATTGACATCTTTCCATCCAAGAAGCATACACTAAAAATTGTCTTACCCTTGAAAACTACATGTGATAAGTATGATGCATCTGTACAGATGAACAGCAAGTATGATTTCATTGTTCATGATTGTTTTGAGAGGGGTCTATCTTGACTATAAGGGGCTGGTGGAGATCTACAGGAGAATCAGCTACAATTGGCAATTGTGGTGAGACTTCCATGTCATCAGTATTATTCTCATTCTCAGCCAATGCCTTTTCCAACGAAGCCTTCGCAACTTTAGTAACACAAATTATTGAAACCACTGTAAACAAGCAGGATACAGTAAGTTTTTGAATAATAAGAGTTCAAGCAAGTTAACTATACAAGATCAAACTCTAATATTACATGTATTGTTCTCCATGTTATCAAAGACTAAGACTACATACCAGTCTCGAGGAGGAAAAATATACTATATTAATAGGAGTTCCTTCTTGCCATCAAAGGCAGAAGAGGGGAACTGTAATATTGTTAATGTTCAAAAATATATGTGAAGCACCAAAATATCCTTGGTTGATAATGCATGATAAAATCTCACTCAAAAATCCCATTGAAAATAGATCTGAATTCAAGTCTAGTTCTAGACTTAGACTTATCACCAAACAAGCATAATGCAAGGCTGGGAAATTTATCGGTAGATCAGCAACTTAGGTTCTTCAAATCAAATATTTGGTCCAGACATAGATCTCCGGTCTAGTCAAACAGTCCCTTGCTGAATGGTATTTGGTTTGAAATAACAGAATACTCTTTCATTGCACATGCAAGATGCAGACCGCCAAATCATAATATGGTGCAAGTGGAAAGCTCAATAATGCTGATATATTAATGGAAATTGATTGCATCTAAAAGTTGAACTCACCAGATGCCACAAGACTCAAGATAAGGAATGCCTGCATCCAAAATAAAGGAGCAAATGTCAAAATTGACAAGGAAACAATATAAGCTTTTCAAAAAAAAAAAAAAGACCTTCCATCACTTCACTGCATGGCCTGGAACACAAAAAACATTTATTGCTCACAGCCAAGAGTTTGAATTGATAATATTTTAGTTTTTTCAACTCTGGTATTAACAAATAACAAGCCCAAGCAACTTCAAGGACTACTTTTATATTAACATAACAATGGAAATTATTAATGATGAGAACTACTTTAAGAAAAAAAGGGGATGATATATTAATAATGTCTAAGAAAATGGCTACCATAATTTCTACGCCACGGACACGTACAAAGGGCAAAGCATACTAACAAAGAAAAAACAGTTTCTATTTCTTTGACCAAAATAGCTCAACACGATGATGAATAACATTAAATCTAGCTCTCTTGTAAGTATATTCCTGAATAGATCTAACTCTTTGGATTCCACAAAGTTATAAAGAAAATAATTCAACATTTTATAATATTAATATGACTTATGAGATTATGAAGAGTCAAGTAATCTCTCACTATTCTTGCTTTTCCCTTCTTCCCTTTCTTTGATACATACACACCCATGTCTAGAGAGACAAAAAATGCTAACAATAAAAAGCATTTTATATTTCTTCCACCAGAATTGGTCAAAACAAAGATTTTTTTTAGTAAAACAAGCTCACTAGTAATTCTATTCCTTAATTGAAATTCTCAGTGCTCTCATCCAAAGCTGGCCAGGTAAAAACAACCCGAGAAAGCAATCTCATTAAATATAAAAACTCAAGACAACAAATTCTGCACACGGAAATAAGACAGCCTTTACTAAATGGATTGCAAAGTGAATCGAGTTAAAGAAATTTAACCCTTTGCACCAATCATATGACATGTTAGTTTAAAAGAATCAAGTCGTGTCTAATTCTTTTTTCTTTCCTTTTGTTAAGTAAGCCATGTCCCATCAGGGACATTAACCCTGCACCCCTGTCTCACTTAAATAATAATAAATATGGTTAAAAATGAACATGAAATGCAATTGTAAAAGCTCTTACCCAGCGGGTTTTGGAGAACTCAGTCCATCCATGAGTTACATCAGAAAGATCCTTTAAAGTCGTTCCAAAATATACCAGAGTGAGAGTAATTGGCTGTACAAAGAAAGTAATAGGCACATCAGCTATAACAAAAGCAGATTCATAAAATCATTTTCAAAGAAGGCATACATTCACAGATACACACAAATAAAACTGGTCACTCACTAGAAAAAAGTTCAAACATACAAGGAATGGCTGATGATAATTCTAATCTATGCCAAAACCCTGTGATACTATAAAGCATGAACACATCAAGTCCGGTACAAATTACTAAGAAATGCTTGTTCAAAATACATACCATCATTCCCAACCATGAAGCCAGCATGTACTCTCCAAACGGGACCGGAGTAACAGACAAGAGGTAATTTAACATGTTAAACGGAAGCAAAGGAACAAGCCGAAGCAGCAAGACAATCTGTCAAATGAGATGAGAAAGTTAAAATACCTTAAGATAGAGAATCAAATGAACTAGTACAACTAGGGTATTTATGAGCTAAACTGCCAAAAAAACAACCCTCTCGAGCAGACGATATGAGCTAGTCATCGATCATGAAACCACCTTCCACAATGGTTTGCCCAAAGGGCCCAAACACGTAATTAGAACCAAGTTGCCTGCTTGTTCAAGTGAATGCACATAAAAAATTCTCTATTTTTTTCTTCCACTTTTGTGTTTTCTTTTTTCTCTTCCTTTTTGGTGTTTGTGGGAGGGGACATTAAGAGTAAGAAATGGCTACAACTTACCCGTCCCTAGATGCCATGCATCTACCTCTACACAATAATGGTGCTGACCTCAGGGAATTCTCCTCTTCCTTTTTCAAATAATTATTGACATACAGAATTCTCTAACCATTTGCTAGTTATAAAACACTTAGCTATGATGAACAATTGAAAAGAATATGAAAGTAGGATACAACAGGAACTCCACCCATCAAAAACAAGAACAAAGTTTCAGAAGATGAATCTAAGATAATTATCAACCTTAAAGCCAGATCTTTGTATTGCAACTGCAACTGCCCGGAACTGAGGATAGTCCTTCAACTTGGAAATCACAAACGACCTTCCAATCTGTTGGATATTAATATAAGAATAACATATGTGTTGAAGGCACAATAGAAAACATCTACAAAAAAAATCAAATTTAAAGGATACTGAGACCAAAAATTCCTAGAACAAAGAAGAGAATAGTAGAGAACAAGAATGTATGGCTACTTAATCTTGTTAGCACCTGTGATGGAGCAAATAGGCTATGAATAGGACCATCACAATAAAAGGATGCTCTATTTTTACTTATTTAATTTTGACTAGAGCACCATCAGTTTATTTTTGAAACTTACTGATGCTCTATTTTTACTTATTTAATTTTGACTAGAGCACCATCAGTTTATTTTAGAAACTTACTGTTCTGCCAAGAAGGAATGCTGCACCCGCACCAACTGTTGCACCAATAGAATCAGCAACAAAACCCACAGGCAAGCCAAAAAGATAACCACCACCCAGCTGGAAGAGAACCATGTATCACATTAATTAAGAGGGTCGAGGGTGAGGCAAAATCTCTGGTTAAATATGCATTTCTCCAGGAGAATTGCACAAAGCCAGAACAATTTGGCACGTCATCAGAAAGGGAAAATAAAAATGAAAAATAAGAAATAATGTGAGAAATACAACCTTTTTTTTCAACATAAATACAACCCTTTTTTTCAACATAAATACAAACCCTCACTGGTAACTATATAGGCGATACTAAATTACAGAAAACAGAAAAACCCATCTCTTCAATGCAAAAGAAGTAAAGCAAAAATGTGTGACGTATGTTGATTCCAAGAATTTGTACAAGTACACAAACACCATTATATCCTCAATAATGTTAACAACCGAACACCAAAAGTTTCTCAAACCATGGTAAAATATCAAGGACTGCTAACAATTTATGGGAAGCAATATGCACAGGGACATCTCTCTTCCCATCGTTAGAGCATCCAACCAATACCTATTGGCAATAAGTGCAGAGTTCTCTCAACTATATAGATCAACCTCGACTAGTCCTAATCTTTACATATGGAATAGGAAATCTCTCCACAGCCTCACTCATGTGGATCCCAGGCTCGCATGTGGGCTAACATATCAAAACGAAACAAGCTGACAAACAAACTGGTGAATTCAACTGGTTAAGAGAAGATCCAATGACCATCCGGGCCCAGATCTAATAACATCTTAGAGCACCTAACCAAAACAACTGGCAGTGGTTAGANCGAAACAAGCTGACAAACAAACTGGTGAATTCAACTGGTTAAGAGAAGATCCAGTGACCATCCGGGCCCAGATCTAATAACATCTTAGAGCACCTAACCAAAACAACTGGCAGTGGTTAGAGAGTCCCCACAACCATATAAAGCAATCTTGGGTTATCCTAATCTCTCCATAAGGGAAAAAAGCTCTCGTCACCCCTATTTATGCTCATTTTTGCATTGCTCATCTCCATTTTGAGAAGAATTTATAGGTCATAAAATTTCATTCCTACCCCTTCTAAAGTTTACGGTTAGTGCAACCCGTTCACATTCATAATTTTAGGTCATCTACAATTTTGCCTTCATTATAGTCTCTNAAAAGCTCTCGTCACCCCTATTTATGCTCATTTTTGCATTGCTCATCTCCATTTTGAGAAGAATTTATGGGTCATAAAATTTCATTCCTACCCCTTCTAAAGTTTACGGTTAGTGCAACCCGTTCACATTCATAATTTTAGGTCATCTACAATTTTGCCTTCATTATAGTCTCTACACTAATAAAGGTGGAAACAACAGNTCACATTCATAATTTTAGGTCATCTACAATTTTGCCTTCATTATAGTCTCTACACTAATAAAGGTGGAAACAACAGAAAACTTGTGATGTTGATGTGTAGATTCAAGTACTGCCCCATTGAACAGGTAACTGCCATCTGGTCTATAGAAGCTACTTCTACATCTACAACAAAGTTATACATGTAACCAAAGGTATGCAACTAATGCTCAGGTTGTTTGCTGATAGCATGAGATCGTCTAATGGAAATATCCTATCTTGATCCAGAATAAAAGAAAACAAAAATAGGCAAAATTGAGAAAGTATGTAGGATAGGTTGAGTCTAACATTGAAGACACGTCCATGAAACGAACAATATAACTTTATAGTACAAAGTAAATGATAGAAAACAATCTTTAACATGGCAAAAAATAGAGAAATTAGTCAATCAAGCATGGAAAACTAGCACATGTTCCATCGAAATTAGGGAAATGAGCTTGATCTGCATAACTGAACATGTTATAATTCTTACAGTAAGTACTGAAGCTGGAACGGCCAAAACCGTGAGAGGAATGTATGCAACAGCCCTGCAAAAAGTTGCCAGGGCATATATGAGTCAAAGGCAAATAAGTTCAAACTTTAAATTCATGATAAACTCGAGCAACCAAACACATGTCCGAATGATTAAACCTTTCCAATCATAGTGATCACCACTACCCACAAGATACCCAAATGATGCTAAAGATGGCAATCAAGGAGATAGGAGCCATCGATTAGTTCAAGGATAAAATGCTTGAGTTCTTAAGCATGGGAAAACATGTGTTAGGAAAAGTATTGTAATTGGCGAATTAAGTTCACTATGTATGTCACATCTCAACTAAATACATGGTCAAGTGGTTATTAAAAATTAAAGACCGAATTAATGTATGGTTAAAGAAGCTACATTGAAAACTTCTTGGATCCTATAAAGCTTAGATGAGGTAAGTTGACCTACATACCTAGCTACCCTTATTTAGTAAAACTTAGGATATAAAATTGGATTCGAGTATTTGTATTTGTTCCATTCATGACTCGTATGTTTTTGGTGCAAAATGTTTTTGGATAGCGGCTTTCTAGGTACACCATTTGGTACTTTGAGAGTTGATTTAGACCCCTGATTTTTGAGAAAACTAGTGGATAATGTTCTCGGGGCTTGGGAAATTGAGCTGGACTCAAAAAATCAATTCCAGTAGTCAGCACTAGCTACAACGCTCAAGTGTTGCCTATATGATGGCTGCCAGATTGCTTTCTAGTAGTCTGATCTCTCCCTTATTTCATATTTCGATAAATAGAGGACGACTCCTATGACCTAATAGACATCCAAGATAGTTNCTGATCTCTCCCTTATTTCATATTTCGATAAATAGAGGACGACTCCTATGACCTAATAGACATCCAAGATAGTTGGAGAGAAACTCTACGATTCAAGAAAAGCTACACATTCAAGAGAGAACACACCCTAGACAAGATCAAAACTCGATTCCTTTAAGATCAATATTGATATCCATGAGGATTTAAGCATATATTGTTAAAGATCTTGAAAACCCATCAAACCCACAACACAAAACNTAGAGAGAAACTCTACGGTTCAAGAAAAGCTACACATTCAAGAGAGAACACATCCTAGACAAGATCAAAACTCGATTCCTTTAAGATCAATATTGATATCCATGAGGATTTAAGCATATATTGTTAAAGATCTTGAAAACCCATCAAACCCACAACACAAAACATCTAAGGAGGCAAACCAAGGATCATCAGGAGGATTGCAAAGGAGAAGAAAGAGGATTCTAAGGAAGGATCGTGGAGTTCGGTTCGTTTCCTTTTGAAGCTAGCTGTTAAATCACTTGTGGTGAATTTTTAGAGTTGAAAATTCATGGGAGAAAGCTTCTAGAATTGGAATTGGTTGTGTATAAGCCTGCAAACTTGTAATCTAAGTTTGAAACTAGTGGATTAGGGTAATTAGTCCCATGATTTTTTTTAAGAGGTTTCCACGTAGAAATTGCTTGCATTGTGTGATTGTCATCTTTTATATACATGTATAATTTTTGTTCCTTCTTTATGTTGAACAAATGATTGAGTGAATCCGAATTGTGTTGATAGCCATTCNTTAAGAGGTTTCCACGTAGAAATTGCTTGCATTGTGTGATTGTCATCTTTTATATACACGTATAATTTTTGTTCCTTCTTTATGTTGAACAAATGATTGAGTGAATCCGAATTGTGTTGATAGCCATTCGATTTGCATATATTTTTATGAATTGGTGAAAGGAAATAGGAGATATGGTTGGTGGATTGTGTTGCATTGAATTGTTTTAACTTGGCATGCACATTCATTACTTAGGTCAAAGGTCTTTATGACGAAGGGGTTTAATTTGTAATTGTGTGACTTAGGTTTTTTTTTGGCATAATTACGCATTAGAGTGCATAAGACCTATTCGCCCCCTTCCCCCTATAAGTCACACTACGTTGCTTCAATGTTCTAGGTCGATCTCACATTTTGCACTCCCAACATGTTTGAGTCTGGAGCAGCCATTTTTTGCGCAAATTTTCCAAATGTAAGGTCTATCCCCCCCCAACCCCAAAAAAAAAAAAAAACCCTATGTAAGNGTTTGAGTCTGGAGCAGCCATTTTTTGCGCAAATTTTCCAAATGTAAGGTCTATCCCCCCCCAACCCCAAAAAAAAAAAAAAACCCTATGTAAGTCTATCCTCCTAGCACCCCACGTAAGTGAGACCACTCTGGGTACTAGTGGTTTTAATGGCAATCAAGAAAATAGAAGCTTTCTGCTAGTAAATAAGTAACCACGTAAAACGGAACTTCTTCTTCACTTACAGCACAACAGGACCCCAAGGTCCAAGATCTTGTTCAATCCAGAGTAAGAAGTCCTTCAGCATCTGCAAAAAGGCAATTCACTCAGCAATATAACAGGAGGATAACTGAAATAACTCAAAAGATGATAATTCAGCCACACAGCCATATAATGTCACAATTACTCCAACAATCAGCCAGCATCTTTAACTTATCAAATTGTTTTGATAGAAGAAAAATCCAAACCACCTCCCGGCCAATCCCAAAGTGCTAAAGATAACTACCGCAATGAACTCAAGGGATATCCTTACCCAAATAAATGGAGGTAGAATGATAATTGAAAAGATCAAGTTACTTATTATTCAATTACTAATACCAAATTATGAGTTTGTGAATGCTATGGAAATTTGAACAGATCAAATCTGTATCAGTAATGCACTTCTGAATGAGCATTTACACATGGTACACATAGAAGATATATAACTTTGAAGCAAAATATGAAATTAAATTAACTTAAATGCAGCAGTTTTATCCCTTTGTTCCTCTTCTTTTATCGAAATATTCTTAACAAATATCCCGTCTAAAGAAACATCAAAGGGGGGCACATTGCTGTACCAATGAAGCCCTTTAAGGTCATGGCACTTGATGTGTTGTTTGATAACACCAAACTTTTACCCTTGGGAGCAATTGAAGAAGAACTTGAAGATGAAAATTCCAAAGATGTTGACACATCAATTTCAAATCATCTGAAAGCGAAAAATCATATTATTGGGTGTACAAGCAACTGGTTAACAAAGGGAAATGGACCTTTGAAAGTAATTTTTTCTTCTACAATAAATGCTATTCAAATGGCATATAAATTACAGATCAGCTTCAAAGAGGCGCATAACATCAACAAAGGTCTAAATTTGCTTGCAATAACCGTATATCCGTACCAAATTTGCTTACAACGGCCAGTACAACTAACCATCGGAGAAAAACTATTTCTTCATACGATATACTATAACCATTAAAAGAGGAGGAATTATCCAGTCAAAGTGGCAGATGAGTGGTCAAAGTCTACACTATCTGAAATTATTGCCTTGCTTTTTTCCAGATAATGGAAAAGGACATTACTCTTATTATAATTTCGATAAAGCACGTACTAGAATGATAAGGAGAGTTTTTAATATAAACCACTTTTGAGAGATGAATAGATGACGTAAAACGGTCTCAACATAATGTTACGCGATTAGCTTCATGGATCCCCTTAAACCAAATAACATCTTAATAGTATTGTAGTGAGAAGATACAACCATCTGACCTTCCCAAGTGCTACAATGGAAGGAAAAAAATGTCCAACAATGATTGATGAACTTGTAACCATCTAAATCTAGAGCTCACTCTACCATAGGTATAGGACCAGCTGACTCAATAAGAAAGTGAAATGCCTTCTTAGAGCCCCAAAAAATAAGGGGTCCCAAATTATATTTTTTATCTTTATAATATGAGTTAATCTGCCTCAAGAATATTATGGAATAATGGCCCAAAAAATACCAAATCTGATTTTCTCTCTTCTTTTTTAATAAATTTTACACTCCCACCAACTCAACAGTCACATCTGACATCACTCACCTAAAAGATGACTTCTTGTCTCTTCATTTGTTGTCAATCCAATCACTCTCTATAATTTGGGCATATACAAATATATTTACATAAACAAATCCCGGCTACATCTCTCTCACACACATACTCAATCTCTTTCGTTTACATGATTTTAAGTAGGGGTGGCAATTTTTGACACGACACGATAACCTAATACGAAACACNTACATGATTTTAAGTAGGGGTGGCAATTTTTGACACGACACGATAACCTAATACGAAACACAATATGAATAAATGAGTTTGAGTTAACTAATTTTTTGTGTCAACCAGTGTATGACACAACCCGTCAACCCATTTAACACGAATTGACCTGTCAACCCGTTTAATACGAATAAATGGGTTCTATTCGAGTTCAACCCGTTTAATACGAATTGACCTGTCAACACGAAGTTTTTAACTCGAAGAAGATTGACCTGACCTTTTCGTTGCATGTATGAGTTTTCATGTTTTGATGACTTGTTTTTTCCATTACTTCTGATGTTTAATTTGGTTGTGCGATGTACGATTAACATATTTAATTAGTATTATAGAAATAAAATATTAATTATTTATAACTGTTTATCAAGCACTGACATAATTATTATATAAAAAAGATATTATTACTCATTATTATTATTAAGTTAATTTTTACTTTGTAGAAAAAGTATGAGGAGAGATTCAACTAAGTGAAAATAAAATCTTAGTGTTAAATTTTTTATTCAAAGTTTATGTGGGTCAACACGAACACGACACGAAAATAAACAGNACTAAGTGAAAATAAAATCTTAGTGTTAAATTTTTTATTCAAAGTTTATGTGGGTCAACACGAACACGACACGAAAATAAACAGGTCAATTCGACACGACACAATTAGTTAAATGAGTTGGGTATGAGTTAACTAATATTCGACACGACTAATGTTTGATACAACACGAACCCAACATAACACGACNTGGGTTGGGTATGGGTTGACTAATATTCGACACGACTAATGTTTGATACAACACGAACCCAACATAACACGACTCGATTACCACCCCTAATTTTAAGTTCATAACGCATTGAAAAATAGCATAGCCATAAAGTAGCAAAAACCTCTTTCTTCATTGAAAAATTGGCATAGTCATAAAATAGCACATATATTTATAATAAGTTTGTAAAGGCCCGCTTAAATTTTTCGCTTAGGGCTGCAAATTCTATTGAGCCAACACTGCATAAGTATCATGCAAGCATGACTATTATACAAAACAAACAAGGAAAAGGCAAGCTACACTACCTAACTTATTTCTTTGGTGTGACTATGACTAAACAAGATATGGATTCTAGTAAAACCAAGGACATGGCTCTATAGGATGATGTTGACAGGTGGAAATTTAGCTAAACGAAAAAAATTTGGCGAAAGCATGATGATATTAAGTTATATCATTAAGAACTATCATCACACATTTCTGCCAATTGGGTAAAGCCTTCCTTGGATTTAAAGTTCACTAATTGATTCAGACTTTGAATGGAGCAAAATGTTGGGAGCTAAGTTCATCTACTTTTGCCATATCGATGTGAGGATCTATGGCTTCAATGTAACAATTACACTAACGTGAATTTTCAACTCCCCAAAAGCAAATATAAAAAAAATACTCAATGTATTTAACATTTGTATGGTTAAGCAGATCCTCTCATAAATGTTTCACAATAAGATTTGACAACCTCCCCTCATCATCATCACAAGAAGCTAACTCATCCTCTTGATCATCCCTTAACATTGTACTACTTGATGATGAGTCTGATAATGGTTTTTTTTTCCTAGTTCCTACTAAACTCTTTTCTTTCGGGCTTGCTTGAGGAGAAGGTGGACAGTTACTGAGGGATGTTCTCTTCACCATGAAATCCTATTTATTGCATGCGAATATGTTATGGGCATGGTGGGCATCTTTTAAACAGACAGATATGTCCTAGGCCACTATCTGCAAGTTGGGATCATCTTGCTCCAAAAACAATTTGGATCGATTAGAAAATTCACAGTGCTCCTAGAGATCCAACATAGCTGGGTTTGAGATTTATGGTGGAACAAGAGTTTGACCTCTTTTTTTTCCCCCTCTATGCAATTTACAAGATGCATCTGCTTATGTTTATTGGTTCTATATTCTCTTCCCGTTTGCAGGAAAGTAGTTCCATATACTTAAATTGGCTAAAATATCATAAATATAAGATTTATAAATTGTCTTTTAATTGGCATGTGCTGTAACCAGATTATGCAACAAGATGATTGTCTACTAAAATCGTGGAATGCCAAAAAAGTGGTCTATGAATTATACTTTACTCAATATATTCACTTACAACGTGTGCAACAACTAGTTACAACAAAAACATTAAAACAAATAAAGAAAATTAATAAATATCGATTATACAAATAAAAAGATAAAATCTTTTCAATGGGACAGTCAAACAAAGCAATAGCAGCAAGGTATCAAAAATTGAGACTATCATTGATCAATTGACCCAAACAATCCTAATATAACTAAATTAACTCGGAACAGTTTTGAGGATTAATACACCCCATCACCAAATTTATTCAATTGAACACATAAACAAGAAGACATCAAACACTCCCATAATACCCATATGCCCAAATTCAACAATCCAATTCTCAAAAAAGATTAGACCCATATGCGAAAGCCTGACCTTTTCAACGGGAAGAGTGAAGCAAGCGGTAATAATGGCCGCAAGAAGAAGGATAAGAATAGTAATTCTAAAAAAAGAAACCCAATTGAAAGCCATTGATGATAATCTTCGATGCCAACAAGGCCTACACTCTTCGTCCTCGCTTTGATCGTCTTCTGCTATGCCCTGCTTCAACGACAGCCGAGGCCTCAATCCCTCTATGTTTGCCAGGTTATATATCAGAATTTATCTCGCCATCGNTGCTTCAACGACAGCCGAGGCCTCAATCCCTCTATGTTTGCCAGGTTATATATCAGAATTTATCTCGCCATCGGCCCATAGATATCAATGAACTCCACCTCTTGCCTGATTGACTCTGTGTGTGTGTGAGAGAGAGAGAGAGAAATCTTTAATACATCGGTTTTATTTTCTATCTCCTGGCTTCTAAAGTAAGTACCAATTTGGCTTTCCCGTGTGCAGGNGAGAGAGAGAGAGAGAGAGAGAGAGAGAAATCTTTAATACATCGGTTTTATTTTCTATCTCTTGGCTTCTAAAGTAAGTAACAATTTGGCTTTCCCGTGTGCAGGACGTAATGGACAACCACTACGGACCAATGTCTCTAAAACCGACATTCAGCGGCTACTGTGGAAAATATTACTTAGATTTTATTTATTAATTTAATGTATTATAATTGTTAAATTAGTAGAGTAATATNACCAATGTCTCTAAAACCGACATTCAGCGGCTACTGTGGAAAATATTACTTAGATTTAATTTATTAATTTAATGTATTATAATTGTTAAATTAGTAGAGTAATATTATAAATATAATTTATTAATTTAATTTATCAAAATTATTAGATTGATAGAGAATTTCAATGAATACTGAGATCCACTGTTAATCTAATAATTATTTTTTATTACGTCAATAAATCATATTTAAATAACATTGTTCGATAACAAATTCTGTCAATAATAAAACTCATGTAATATTTGCTCATTCAGAAGACCGTCGTTTGGCTGTGTGAAGAAGANTAGAGAATTTCAATGAATACTGAGATCCACTGTTAATCTAATAATTATTTTTTATTATGTCAATAAATCATATTTAAATAACATTGTTCGATAACAGATTCTTGCCGATAATAAAACTCATGTAATATTTGCTCATTCAGAAGACCGTCGTTTGGCTGTGTGAAGAAGGNTGATTTTAAGTAGGGGTGGCAATTTTTGACACGACACGATAACCTAATACGAAACACGATATGAATAAATGGGTTTGAGTTAACTAATTTTTTGTGTCAACCATTGTATGACACGACCCGTCAACCCATTTAACACGAATTGACCTGTCAACCCGTTTAATACGAATAAATGGGTTCTATTCGGGTTCAACCCGTTTAATACGAATTGACCTGTCAACACGAAGTTTTTAACTCGAAGAAGATTGACCTGACCTTTTCGTTGCATGTATGAGTTTTCATGTTTTGATGACTTGTTTTTTCCATTACTTCTGATGTTTAATTTGGTTGTGCGATGTACGATTAACATATTTAATTAGTATTATAGAAATAAAATATTAATTATTTATAACTGTTTATCAAGCACTGACATAATTATTATATAAAAAAGATATTATTACTCATTATTATTATTAAGTTAATTTTTACTTTGTAGAAAAAGTATGAGGAGAGATTCAACTAAGTGAAAATAAAATCTTAGTGTTAAA